CACTTTGGTAGAGAAGTTTAAGAGTCAATAGGTGATCTGGGGCCTCCCCCTTGGCGCAAGGGGTTAAGCACAGCACTATGAAGCTCCCTGCAGCCACTGCAGCACGAGCTCAATCCCCAGCCAGGGAGCTACTCACATGGCGCAGCTACACACATGGCGCAGCTACACACATGGCGCCCGCTGCTCCCCTCAGCAGTGTATTTCAGTAGGTCCACCTGTTCTGTTCCCGGCTCTGTCTCTGGTGAATCTTCTCACCCCCGGCCCCCCACATCTCTGGCTTACACCCCAGCTCTTGTATGGATAAACAAATAAATCTTTGAAAAATACATCACAAAACATTTTTTCACAGCTGTGGGGCAGCACTCACTTATGCCCAATCTGCTGGCAGCTCAATCCAAACTGGAATTGAGCCCCGTGGACACTTTAAATTCTTCAGCTCTTTTTCCTTCACTAAGCACAGGATATACTTGTACATCGTATCAGCCCTTCACCCATTGAAAAATTAAGTTACTAGAAGTTACTAGAAAACAAAAGCAGTACTGCACCTGAGAATACCCAAGATGGTCCTTAAGTAAGTTAGGGGTAACCAGGAGAATCTCTCCCTAGTGCCCCACCTTATCCAGGGCAGCTCCTTCCCCACAGGCCCTTCTGAAGTTGCTGGCCTAGCAGAAACAGGGTTGGGTCTTCCCCAGGACTCCCTCCCCCACTGAGTTCCTACCCTCTTCCAAAGAGGAAGTCAGTGCTGAGCTCCTTCCTTTGCCAGCCCCTATCAACCCTTGCCAACAGAAAAAGAGAGCAAACAAACATGGACTTTCCAGGGTCAGGACCGTCCTCAAACCAGACAGGAGGCCAAAGTGCTCCCCCACATCCTACTTTCTTGGGAAAAGCAGTAAAGATTAGCTTGGTTTTGGTTAAGGAAAAGGCTGCCATTTCCAGACGGGACAAACACGCTTTTCGTCACCATAATATCCCCATCATCCAGGTGCCGAAAGGACACTTGAGTTCCTGATGCCTCTCCTCCCCTCCTGGTTCCAGAGGCTGGAATCCATCCCTCTGTGCATGCTCCCGCACTGCACTGGGCAACGCAATTACTAGCAGAGCTTCCAGCAATCTCTGGGGAGTCTTACAGGATAATACCTTTCTCTGTGGAGGAGAGCAGACCTGATCCTCCCTCACACTTTGACAGAACCGAGGAAATTACGGATTTGGGTTGAATAGCCCTTCAACTGAATCACGGCAGGCCAGTGCCTGAGTGGGTGTGTGTTTGAGGTGCAGTAGATGAGCAGAATGCCAGGAAATGGTCAAACTTCCCCAGGTTGAGGAAGTTAGGGGCATCCTGGGAACAAAATGTGCTGGCCCAGACCCTGGCCATCCCCAAGCCCCGCCCACTTCCCCGTCACTAACCAGCTCCAGCTGTGCGCAATGCTGGCCATCCTGACCCATCTGGCTTCTAGGAATTCATGACTAATTAAAGGAGTGCGTGTACAGGGGGCCGGGTGGGGGGGGGTCCTATTGAAAACAGAGGTTTCCAGGGTAACAGCTTGGCGAACTCAGTCCCACTCGGCCAGGGAAAATTCCCACTCTCCTGACTCTCTAGGGCTCCTGGGGGGAAAGCCAGCCAGAGGCTAACCACATTGCTCTAGCTCAAGATCAAGGGCAGTGGCCCTGACTTGGTTACGATTTATGTTTCTCACGTCTCACTTCCAGTTTCCGGTCCCAGGTTTGCCCTGTACAATCCAGGAGGCCCAGCCCTCCAGGACGCCCATTCTTTTAGAGAGGCTGTCACCGGATTTGGGGGGAGACCGTTTTGAGATTAGTGCCTCTGTGTTTAGAGAGCTCTACAAATTTTTATCTTCCATCCACAGCCGTATAGCCCCTGATCATTAGAAAATATTCTCAGTCTTAATTAGTCCCTCCTGCTGATTTAAAACTATTTTAATTAAAAATATCCCTATGCAAACTGTTCTGCAATCAAGTTCTCTTTTGGGGTCAGGCAGACCACATGTCCTAACCTTTTGCACAGTCCCACATCTCCCCTAGTGAGAGATGACAAAATCAGGGAAAAAGAGCTGGGTCAGTCTGACTGACTGGGGGTGGCGTGAGGGCTGGCTATGATACCTTATGGGGACAGAGTTAGTCACACAGTTCTTGCACCCTGGCCCCAAGGGGCAGTCGCTCCTGCCTCTGGGGGGTTTTGTTTGAGTGCCTGCGGAAACTCTCAGGAGGCTGCAGAGATCAGAAAGATCATAGCTTCGCCTGAGGCTCTGCTGCTTTCTAGCTATGTGACCGGAAGCCAACCTGTCAGAGAATCAGTTTTCTTTTCTATAAAAAGCCCTCTGGGTCGTTGTTGGGATTTAAATGAAGTAATTTATTAAGCAACTTTTACTATGAAGCTTCTTAGAATCTAAAAGGTGGTTTCAGGGCCTCCCTGGTGGCGCAAGTGGTTAAGGCACAACCTATGAAGCTGTCAGCAGCCTCTGCAGCACGAGTTCGATCCCCAGCCAGGGAGCTCCCCACAGGGCTCAGCAGACCTCTCCTGTCTCCCCTCTGCTCCCCTCTGCAGTGGATTTCAGTCAGTTTGCCTGTTCTGTTCCCCACTCTGTCTCTGGTGGATCCTCTCACCCCCCACACCTCTGGCCTATACCCGAGTTCTTGCATGCATAAATAAATAAATATTTCAAAAAAATTAAAAGGTGGTTTCTTCCCCCAGGGCCTTCCAAGGTCAGAATATTTCTCCTCTTTATCTCTTACAGTAACCACCCTCTCTCTAACATGCTAACATCTACTCCTAAGCATCATCCAGCTACTGTTGTTTCTTTTTTCCTGCTTGTATGGATACCTAAGGGTCCCGCATTCATTTTGCTTCATTTTACCTCATGCTACCACATTCATTTTACTTCATTCTTTTCCCTCTAATCCTCCTCTCCTCCCACCACCCTCAGTTCCTCTCCTTCCCCCATTATCTCACTGTTTCCATCCCTTGCTCTTTCCTTCCAGTCTGGGTCTCCAGGGGCTGAGGCTGGGCAGTCTAAGCCAGCCCTGAGTCCAAAGCCACAGACAGTTTCAAGCAAATGCATCTCAATATTACCAGTGGTTCTCTTCTGGGTGGAATTTACTGAGGCTTTTCATTTTCTTCCTTGCTTAATTTGGTGTTTTCTAAATTCACTGCGATGAGCAATGGACAGCATTTATTCAGGGGAAAAAAACAAAAACAAAGAAAACTTCAATCAGAAAAAAATTATAATTTTCAATTTCATGTCCTGTTCTCAGAAAAGGAGGGGCAGTGGGGGGTCGGTGGGAGTTGGAAAGAGAGAGAAAGGCAGGGCTGAGAAAGAGCTCTGCAGGGGGCTCAGCAGGAGCGGGTCCCCAGACTTGGTAATATTCTGGGTTGGGTGCACCAGCCTTGGTGATGGCATCTGTTATGACCTCTGTCTCTCAGTCTGTGACTCTGTCCTTCCTTGTCTGTCGCTGGTCATTTGGAACTTAGTCACCCTATTGTTACCCAGCTGGGCCAGGAGAACCAGCTGTATCAATGAGGGCAATAGTATGAGTCAGGAATACCCTCCAATTGAGTCCTGGGGTGTAAAGTTTCCTCTGTAGCCTGCCAGCCTTTCGGCCTAGGGAGTGGCGAAGGGCTTAAAACTGGGATCCTTCTGAGGCTATAAACTCAGTAACTGTCCTCTTGTGTGCATCTGATCAGTATGCAAGTGCTGTATGAGGCACAGAAGCTAGTGGGGACTTCAGTGGCTCCTGACCAGTTACAGAAATGGTTCTTAGAACTAAAAGTTCTAAATCAGTGTGGTGTAGGGGAGAAGCACGGATCATGGGCTTAGCAGAGGGATTTGGGACATAGGCCAGACTGATCAGGAGCTTTGTGTCCTTGGTCAAGTTTCCCTCTCTTGGTTTCCACTTCCTCTTACAAAAAAAGGCCAAAATAATTCCTTCCTCATAGGAAGGTTGTGGGAATTAATGAGATAATATATAAAGCACTTAACAAAAAACAGAGTTTTTTTTTTTTTTAAGATTTACTTATTTATACAAGAACGGGGTACAGTCCAGATGTGTGGGAGGGTGAGAGGATTCACCAGAGACAGAGCCGGGAACAGAACAGCCAGACTGACTGAAATACACTGCTGAGGGGAGCAGCAGGGAGACAGGAGAGGTCTGCTGCACCATGTGGGTATCTCCCTGGCTGGCTGGGAATCGAACCTGTGCTATAGAGGCTACGGACAGCTTCACAGAGCTGTGCTCAAACCACTGCGCCACCAGAGAGGCCCTATTTTTTTTTTTTTTAACACAGTTTTTAAAGTGTAAGTTTCTCTTTTCCCTTCTCCATTCTAAATAGCAATCAAGGGGCCTCCCTGGTGGCGCAAGGGGTTAAGACACAACCTATGAAGCTGTCCACAGCCACTGCAGCACAAGTTCAATCCTCAGCAGGCCAGGGAGCTCAGGGAGCTACCCATATGGTGCAGCAGACTTATCCTGACCCACCCACTGCTCCCCTCAGCAGTATATTTCCTCAGTCTACCTGTTCTGTTCCCCACTCTGTCTCTGGTGAATCCTCTCACCCCCCACACTTCTGGCCTGTACCCAGTTCTTGTATGCATAAATAAATCAATCTTTAAACAAATAGCATTCAATAGCAATTTTACTTCTCCTCTTTAAATGCTCTCTCCAAACCCTGGCTCCCAGCCACTCCCCCACCCGGTCATTCATTTGACAGGGATTTGTTAGGCACCACCTGAAGGACGGCACCAGCCTGTGGTGGCATGGACGTGCTCCTGGTCTCTATGAAGTGTCTGCTTCTTATCTACCGGCATGCCCACCCCCCGGAGAGTATGAAGTCGCCCATCTCCAGAAGAGGACTCTGTGGGAGGGGGTCAGGGGCTCTCCTCTACTTCTGCTCTCTGACAGGCAGGGGTTAATTGCTTGCAACATATCTCTGGGCTGAGTCACCTCCTGCTGCCACTCCCCCCCCCAATTCCCCTCCTCTGAAGTTTTATACAGAGGACCAGAGACTGGAAAGATACAGCCCCCCACATCCCTGCTCTGCCAGGAATCTCAGGGCCAGACGCCTCCCTTTTTCCCCTGGTGAGACCATGAACTGGCAGCAGCTGTGGCTGGGCTTCCTGCTGCCCATGGCAGTCTCAGGCCGGACCCTGGGGCCTGCAGAGAGAGAGGCAGCAATGGTGAGTTCTTGCCTCTCCATCCCAGGGAATAGGGTCCAGTCTGCGGAAGGGGGGGCTGCTCCTCCATGCATCCAGCCAAGCCTCCCTCCGGACCTTCAGCTTGCCTGCCTGTCCCTGCCTTCTTGCCTCTGCTCCATGAGCCACCTCCACCCAACTCCTTCTCCCTCCTCTTTCCCAAGTTCAAGGTAACTCTCCCACAGCCCTTCCATGTCTGTCCCCTTCTGTCCTCATGGGCCTGTTAGGTACTTAGATGCTTTGCCCTGTGGTGAACAGCCTTTTTATTCTCTTTATCCTTACCCCCATCATAGGATTACCTTTTGCAGTTTGGGTATCTACAAAAACCTCTAGAAAGACTGAAAGAATTCAGGACAGAAGATATCACAGAAGGTCTGAGGTGAGAGGTCATAGGGCACATGACTTCAAGGTTGAGGTGGCAAGGCCTTCTTTTTTTTAATTTTATTTATTTATGCATATAAGAACTGGGGTACAGGCCAGAGGTGGGGGTTGAGAGGATTCACCAGAGACAGAGTGGGGAACCAAACAGGCAGATCTACTGAAATCCACTGAAGGGAGCAACAGGGAGTCAGGAGAGGTCTGCCGCACCATGTGGGTAGCTCCTTGGCCAGGGATCAAACTCGTGCTGCAGTGGCTGCTGAAAGCCTCATAGTGCTGAGACTTAAACTGGGAGGCCCAGCTTCAGAGATTCTTTGGCATTCTTAGCCACTGCTTTGGGCAGCAGGGGCCCAAGAACTCTCCCCAGTCCCCAACCATTCCAGAGAGGCTTACCCTGCTCAACCATCCCTCTCCCTCTTTCCAGAGCTTTTCAGGAAGCATCTGAGCTGCCCATCACAGGTCAGCTGGATGATGCCACTAGGGCCCGCATGAAGCAACCCCGTTGTGGCCTGGAGGATCCCTTCAACAAAAAGGCCTATAAATACCAGCTATTAGGTGAGGACTGAGTTGGGGAAACAGAGGGAACAGAGTGGTGGCGTGGCTCTGAAGTATGGGGGAGACTAGGGTAGCCCCAGCAGCTCAGGTTGAATGGATGATTACTTGGTCTCACCTGCCCGAGAGGTTGTGACAAAGCTTTGCTGAGTGACTGCCCAGACTCAGGGGAGTGCCCTGGGGGTGGCAGGAGGAGCTGCGTTTCAAATCTATTTTCTGGTCCAATTACCAGGCCGCTGGAGAAAGAAGCACTTGACTTTCCACATCTTCAACCTGCCCTCCACCCTCCCATCCCACACAGCCCGGTCAGCCCTACGCCAAGCCTTCCAGTACTGGAGCAAGGTGGCCCCTCTGACCTTCCAGGAGGTGCAGGCCGACCAGGCCGAGGAGGCTGACATCCGCCTCTCCTTCCACGGCCGCCGAAGCCCAAACTGCTCCAACACCTTTGATGGGCCCGGTAGGCACCAGCTTTGGGCTCCCGGGCCAAGCAATCTGAGCTTATCGCTGTCCCCTTGGGCCGCTTAGACCTCTCCTGTTTCCCCTCTGCTCCCCTCAGCAGCATTATTTCACTCCCTCGCCAGGAGGTGGTCGCTTCCCTGAGTCCTTATTAGGCTTCCTCCTTGAAGCTACTGTCTTCTCCCCTGGCTTAAGCTTCCTTGTTTGAAGCACACCCAAGAGAGGACTGTGCGGAGAGCAGAGTGTGGTTGGGAGGGAGGGAGTGAGAACTTGGTGATGACAGGGCATCTGAGAGGAGACAGAGGCACCCAGAGACAGTGGACATAGATGGGGAGTTGTTTTTTATTTAAAGATTTATTTATTTATGCATACAAGAGCTGGGGTGCAGGCCAGAGGTGCCAGTGGTGAGAGGATTCACCAGAGACAGAGTGGGGAGCAGAACAGGCAGACTGACTGAAACACACTGCTGGGGGGAGCAGTGGGCGAGACAGGAGAGGTCTGCTGTGCCATGTGGGTAGCTCCCTGGCTGGCCAGGGATCGAACTCGTACTGCAGAGGCTGCAGACAGCTTCATAGTGCTGAGACTTAACCCCTTGTGCCACCAAGGAGGCCCAGAGGGGAAGTTTTTTTTTTTAATTAAAATTTATTTATTTATTTAAGTTTTAAAAATTTATCATTTTTTACATTTTTTAAACAATATTTGCTTCCCCCACCCCCTCAGGTGCAGTTCCCACAGAGTTTCCTTCCCCAAGGCCCCCGGGCACCATCACCTCAGTCCCCCGTGCACCTCCCTCCCTCCCTCTGCTCCCTCTCCTGCTCCTCCCCTGCAGGATGTCTCTGGTTTATAATCGCCAGACAGGGGAGTTTCAAGGGGACAGACCAGTTGGAGTTTAGATGCTCCATCCTAGTAGATGCTACTCTGACCTCCCTCCTGCTCGCCTCGCCTTTGTGCAGGGAGGGTTCTGGCCCACGCCGACATTCCGGAGTGGGGCAGCGTGCACTTTGATGAAGACGAGCGCTGGACGGAGGGCACCTACCAAGGGGTGAATCTGCGCATCATCGCTGCCCATGAGCTGGGCCACACCCTTGGGCTCGGGCACTCCCGATACCCCCAGGCCCTGATGGCTCCTGTCTACACTGGTTACCGCCCCTACTTCAAGCTACACCCGGATGACGTGGCTGGGATCCAGGCTCTCTATGGTCAGTCCTTTCCCTGAGGGAGCCTGAGGGTCAGTCTGACCAGCACTCACTTCAGGCTTGAAGAAACAGGTGTAACTCGGAGGGGAATGGCTTGGCTTCTTTCTTCTCTTCATGCCTGGTTATTCAGGCTTCTTCATTTTAAGGCTCTGTTTCCTTCTTTTTAAGATTTATTTTATTTCTCTATGCATACAAAAGCTGGGGTGTAGGACAGAAGTACAGGAGGTGAGAGGATTCACTAGAGAAAGTGGGGAGCAGACCAGGCAGACTGACTGAAATACACTGCTGAGGGGAACAGCGGGGAGCCAGGAGAGGTCTGCTGCACCATGTAGGTAGCTCCCTGGCCGGGAATGGAACTCACGCTGTAGTGGCTTCATAGTGCTGAGACTTAACCCCTTGCGCCACCAGGGAGACCCCAGGAACTGTTTCTTTCTGACTCCTCTATGTTCCTTCAGGGTCCCTCTCCCCTTACACCCGTTCTTGGGGATAAAGAATGCACAGTCAGGGCCTCCCTGGTGGCTTAGGTGTTAAGTTTCAGTGCTATTACAGATAAGACCTGAGTTCAATCCCTGGCCAGGGAGCTGACCCCCACATGGCACAGCAGACCCCTCCTGTCTCGCCCGCTGCTCCCCCCAGCAGTGTATCTCAGTCAGTCTGCCTGTTCTGCTCCCCACTCTGTCTCTGGTGAGTCCTCTTAGGCCTTGCATCTCTGGCCTACACCCCAGTTCTTCTACGCAAAAATAAAAACGAATGCACATCTAGCCCTTCGCCCTTTCTGGAGTCTCTCAAAACTCAAATAGGTCTCCTGCTGCTATTATGATCTTGCCTCCCAACAAAGGAAACTCTCTGGGATTCTCTTTCCCTTGTCTATGGGGCCTCTGAGCAGAGCTTACAGTAGAAGAGTGCGGAAGCCAGGGTCTTTGAGTTCTCTCCCTGAGCAGTATTACATCACCTTGCAGGCAAGAAGAAACCAGAGAGAGGGGATGAGGAAGATCAGACGGAACTGCCCACTGTACCCCCAGTTCCCACTGAACCCAGTTCCATGCCAGACCCTTGCAGTGGTGAACTGGATGCCATGATGCTGGGTGAGGTTCTTCTCCAGACTGCTGGCAGGCAGTGGGGGGCTGTCAGCTGACCCTGAGGACTGGAGAAACAGGAAGGACGTGGGGCCTCAGTATAAGCAATGGAGGTTTGACAGCAGGGAGGGGTCCGTGGACACGGAAGGAGGCACGTGACTAAAGTCGGGCCAGGCAGGCTTCCACCTGGTTACCACTCTGTAAGGACTAACAAAACACAGCTGGAAATACAGAAAGATGGAAAAAAACTATGTTAACTGCATCATCTATTAGAGGTGTGACACTTGGATGGAAGGACATCTTTGATGCCTCTCGGAGTGAAGGTGAGGTTTGGGGGGGCAGCTATCTGTGCGACATGTGTTGAGTGGACCATAGTTAAATTGTTAAGTCAACAAAAGAAAGACTGAACATTGGGTCCTTAATAGTCTCCAATTACAGATGAACAAACTTTTGAGGAATCACCCTATGGGAGGCGAGCAGACGCCTCAGACACCTACAAGCCTTTATGTGACCTTATTATTTTTTTTCAACGTATTGATGTTGCTTTCAGGGCCCCGTGGGAAGACCTATGCCTTTAAGGGGAACTATGTGTGGACAGTGACAGATTCAGGGCGGGGGCCCTTGTTCAGAGTGTCTGCCCTCTGGGAAGGCCTCCCCGGGAACCTGGATGCTGCAGTCTACTCTCCTCGAACACAGTGGATTCACTTCTTTAAGGGTAAGGAGACCAGAGTGTCTTACCTGAGGAGGGGCCTGACACCAAAGGAACCCTAACAGGGAGGGAAAGACGAAAAGTTTTGAAAGTGTGGAATGGAGGAGCCAGAAGCTATGACCTGGGGACTGAGGTGACTAGTTCTTTCCTTAAATGCTCTCAGGAGACAAAGTGTGGCGCTACGTTAATTTCAAGATGTCTCCTGGCTTCCCAAGAGGCTGAACATAGTCGGTCCCAACCTGGATGCAGCTCTCTATTGGCCTCTCAACCAAAAGGTGTTCCTCTTTAAGGTATGAAGTTCAAGTAAGAGTAAATCCCTTCATAGCGGGGACAATTTCTCTCACACTGAAAAGCAAAGACCTGTTGTTGGTTTTTTTTTTTTAAAGATTTATTTATTGATTGATTGATTTATTGATTTATACAAGCACTGGGTACAGTCAGAAGCGCGGGAGGGTGAGAGAATTCACCAGAGCCAGAGCGGGGAGCAGAGCAGGCAGAAGGACCGAAGTACACTGCTGAGGGGAGCAGCGGGCGGCAGGAGAGGTCTGCGCGCCATGTGGGACCCCCCTCCGGTGGCCGGGGAGCAGCCGGGGATCGAACCGGTGCTGCAGAGGCTGCGGGCAGCTTCGCAACCCAGAGCTCAACCACTGCGCCACCGGGGAGGCCCTGTTGTTGGTTTTTTTTTTTTTTAGATTTATTTATGCATAAAGATCTGGGGTACAGGCCAGCAGTGTGGGAGGGGGGTGGTGAAAAGATTCACCAGAGACAGAGTGGAGAACAGAACATCAGATCCACTGAAATAAACTGCTGAGGGGAGCAGTGGGCGAGACAGGAGAGGACTGCTGCGCCATGTGGGTCACCCCCCTGGCTGGGGATTGAACTCAGGCCGAACTTGAACTCAGGCCACAGTGGCTGGTGATAGCTTGACAGTGCTGAGAATTAACCCCTGTGCCACCAAGGAGACCCTCAAAGACCTGTTCTTGAAGGGAGGTCTGTAGCTGCCATGGGCTGGGGTGTAGACCTCTGGGGACCCCAAATCTCCCTCCTTATCTTCTTCTTCACTCTGTCCACCCCACATCTAGGGCTCCGGGTACTGGCAGTGGGACGAGCTGGGCCGAACTGACTTCAGTCAGTATCCCAAACCAATCAAGAGGTTGTTCACAGGCGTGCCAGACCGGCCCTCAGCTGCTATGAGCTGGCGGGATGGCCGTGTCTACTTCTTCAAGGGCAGGCAGTACTGGTGCCTCAACCGGCAGCTCCGAGTAGAGAAAGGTTACCCCAGAGACACTGCCCCCGACTGGATGCACTGTCGTGCCCAGACCCAAGACACCACCCCATCAGGGCGGGGTGGCACCTCCACAGCCAAAGGCACTGACCACTCAGTCACAGGAACAGCCTTGGATACAACTCCTTCGGCCTTGGACACCATTTTGAACACTGACCATTTGCCCACAGACACAAACTTGGGCATCACTTCCTCAGCACAGGCCCCACCATCCCTTCAATCCCTGGCAATGTCACCCTCCCTGACGCCTGAGAGCTGAATCACGTCTGCTCGCAAGATTCTGCAAGTGCTCCATCAGGGACATGAACCACAGGCCTTATGCCTCTAAATGTCCCAGTTCTAGCCACCACGCCCATGTGCTCTTTTCCTCCTGGACAGTGACTGCTAACTCTGGGTCAACTCCCAACTCCATCCATCTCTTCTCGGCCATAGACAGCACTTCTTCTCTTTTTAACGTTTTATGTTCTTTTTTTCTTTCTTTTTTAAGATTTATTTATGCATACAAGAACTGGGGTACAGGGCAGTGATGCGGGGGGTGAGAGGATTCACCAGAGGCAGAGTGGGGCGCAGAACAGCCAGATGTACTGAAATACACTGCTGAGGGGAGCAGCGGGCGAGACAGGAAAGGTCTGCTGCGCCATGTGGGTTGCTCCCTGGCAGGCTGGGGATTGAACTCATGCTGCAGAGGCTGGGGATAGCTTCACAGTGCTGTGCTTAACCCCTTGCGCCACCAGGGAGGCCCCATAGACAGCACTTCTAACCATTTCATCTGCTCTCTGGAAGACACTGGTTGAGGGAAGGCATCCATCAAGCCTTTGGCTGACAGGAAACAACAGCCAGGAAGCTGAACGCCTGCGTCCTATCCTTCCTAGATGTAGCGTAAGGAAGGCATGGCCAGTAAAATGAGCAAAGGGTTTTGGAATCCTTGAGAATCATATTCACTTGCTTATGATTTGGGGCAAGTTAATTAACCTCATTGAGTCTCAGACTCCCCATTTGCAAAATAAGGTTCATGCCAATCCTGTGGGGTTGTTGCAGGAAATGAAATACTCTATGTGAAGTACCTGGTACAGTGTCGGGCACACTGCGCTTAATAAAGGCTTACTCCATGTTCTTAAGAGGACTCCACAGCTCTCCCTCTGGCCCTCTGTGTGTGTGTGTGTGTGTCTCACTCTTACAATAGTCCAATCTGATCAGGGAGGCTTCATCAGATATTTAGAACACAAAGCACTTGCCAGGACGGCTCTTTGTCTTGGAATACAAAGAAAAGAGCGTTAACAGTAGAGGCCAGACTCACTGGTTCAGTGTTCAATGCCGTTTTATTCACATGCTCCTACTTTCTTCCTTCCTTCCTTCTTGGCCCGGCTACTCAGGGAGGAGGGACAGCTCTTCCTTCATGCTGTCTGGGAAACCAGGGTACAGACCCTGGGTGGCAGAATTGGAGGTATGGGGACGTTATAAAGGGTTAGTGGTCAGGACAAGGTTCTGGTTAAGGAGGAGATGAGCATCGCCTATGAGAGGCAGAGAAGGCACTTTTCTCCCACACAGCCCTGAAGATCAGGCCCCTTTTGGCAAAAGGGCAAGACTGGCATGGAAGCCAATGCTCTCTTCTTGGGGCAAAAAGCCGGCTTTGTGGGGAGGTGGGTGCTGACCAGGCACTCACTGGCCTTGTCTTCCTTATGTTAAGGAGAAAACGAGGAGCACCGTGGAAGACAGGGCCCCCAACTGAGGTAGGAGGAGGAACCTTGATTTTAAGGGGCCCAATGGGAAAGGCTGGCCAGGAACCCAACTCCCGGGGGCTGGAGGATCCCAAGCCACATCGTGCCCTTCTCTCCCTCAAAAAGTTATCAAGTGCTTGAGGGGTGGGAGCCCAGCGGACTAAGGCAGGGGATTCGGATGCCTCCGTGATGGGTGTGCTACGGCAACGTACGTCTGAAGAGGTCTGGATCTGTACCTCTGAATTGCATACCGTGTTGTCAATCAACATTACCTCAGTAAAAAAGGCTGTGATCAAAAAGGTAAAAAAGTTATCAAGTACTTTAGGAGGCTTCCTGATATCCTGCAGACCCTATAAAAAACAACCCCTTATTTTTCCATTGTGAGGCACGCTGATAATAGGCTATTTAGGTAAGGGTCCTCCTTGGTTTGGAAGGAGTTAGCGAGTAAGTTATTTTGGGGACCAGGGCACCTCTATTATTGGACAGAGGTGTGTATTCATAACCCCATTCCTCTTCCCTTCCCACAAGATTCCTCTCGATGTGTCCCTGAAACATATCCCCACAAGGCTAGTCTGGTTGGAGCACAGATTCTATCCCCAAGTCCAAGAGGGGGATGTTTATGTGTAGTCCTGAGGGCCTGGGTCCTTCCACGGAGGGGCGCTCCAGGCCCTTGCTAGGGGTGGGGGCATCAGCGGAGGTTTAGGCTCAGGCCCGGGTAGGAACGGAAGGTATGGTGAGGAGTACAGTGGAACCACAGTCAGAATCCAAGTCCAGGATGGTGTGGGGGGCTGTGGCCTGGGTGCCTGGTCCCAGGTGGCGCTCTTGAAGGCTCTGGAGATAACTCTGGAGGGGCACAGGGCAGAGGGCAGAAGGAAGGGCCTGGGTCAGAGTCCCCTCCCACTTGGCTTTCCCCATACCATTCGCCCTCTGCTCCACCCCTCAGAGGGCCCCGCTCCCCCCACTCACAGGAGCCAGACTGTCAGCAGGGCTCCGGGGGGTGCTGGGGTGGAGCTGGCGCTGGTAGCCACCCTCACAGAGCCCCACCCCAGAAGAGGTCCGGTGCCACTTGGCCTGCTGCTGACGGAGCCGAAGGAGCTGGAGATGCCTTTGCTGGTGGCTCAAGACCACTGCTTGGGAGGGGGCAACACAGAATCAGGGAGGCCTCTTTAGACCCTGGGTCCCACCCCAGACACACTGACATTCCAGAGAAACCTGTCTGACCTCCAGTGGGGCTCTCACATCTCATCCCTCCCTGCCTCCCACCCCCCTTAAGTGAAACTCTTCTCTGGAATTCTACTTTTTTCTCTTCGACTTTTCTGACAGCCTCCCTTTCTTCGTAAGAGTTTCTAATAAATTTCCCCTGGCAATTTCTCACCTCACTCCTATCCCGACATTCCTTTGTCCCTCCATCTCTAGATTTCTGACAAAGTCCTTCCCCATTCTCCTTGGACACTTCCACCCTCCTCTCTCAAGTATAGTTTTTCCCTTCCAGTTCTCACGTCTGCAAGCCAAGGACGTAAGAAGGCACAGGGTGGCTGCTTTTGTACCATGGCATTAACTCACCATTTGCGTGGGCTCCATGTTCTTCATCCATGAGCTTCCACTGGGCCAGGGCCCCCAGGGCCCCCAGGGCTGGCCAGGTCCCCAGCAAGACCCAGCTATACCAGCAGAGAGGAGGCAAGGCTGGAAGTGCCTGCAAGCGCTGGCCCAGCCGACTGCCCAGTGCTAGTCCCTCCAGGAAGTAGTCAGCACAGGCCACTAGCACCGCAGCACCCAGCAGGGCTGTGCCCAGAACTGTGAATGGACGTGGCCACCGAAGTGTGAGTAGAGCTCCCAGCAGAGCCAGTCCCACCAGCCCCCCGGCCGGCACCCAGGCTGAAGGAGGCTGGTAGATGGGCTCACTGCCCAGCAGGGCCCCAGCACCCAGGGTCAGGCCCAGCAGGAGACCAGTGAGGAAGAGCCCGACACTGCGAACCAGCATGGTGACCAGGCCACAGAGGAGTCCGATGCCCAGCGCAATGCCCGCGCTCACCTCCAGGCTCAGCTGTGTCTCTAGCACTCGCTCCTTGTGGCATAGCAGGAAAATCACCAGAGCTCCTGACAGCAGGCCAGAGAGAAACATCACGGCCTTGAAGCAGCGGTAGCCTGGGAAGGGAGGCAGGAGGTTCTGAGAGACACAAAGGGGGTCCTCGGGGATGGTTCTGATGATTCAGAAAGGAGAGGAGCGGCTAACCAGAGGAGCAGGAGGCAGGAGCAGCGTTCCAAGGGCTTGGAAGTAAGGGACCAAAAGGAATAATCTCAGGGTGGGCGGGGACTTTTCAGGAATTGTGAGGGGGTGGAAGGGAAGCGAGGAGGTGAGACAGATGCTTTGATGGGAGCAAGTCTAGAAAGAAGCTTTAGTGCTTGTCCCTACAAGGTAGGGTAGACCTGAAGAATCAGTCCAGGTTGTTTTAGGTTACTGGACAAGGGTAAACAAGCCTTGAGCATGGAGGAGCATCTGGGAATGAGGCTCTGAGGTAGAAGGCAAAGGGAGGGCAAGCGAGAGTTGCCAGTAATAGCTGCCAGAGCTGGAGAGCATGGAGGTGGGGGAGGGAAAGGAAGAGCTGGTAAGAGCAGCAGGCGCCACACCGAAGACAGGGCCCCCTGACAGAGGAGCAGAGGTAGTCCAGGAGCAAAGAAGAAAGTTGGCATCATTCCTGAGGCTGACAGTTTTAGGCAACTGCCCCCCAGAACCCTGGCCCTGCCCTCACCAAAGCAGCAGTAGATGATCCCAAAGCAGCAGCAAAGAGCACACACCAGGGCGGGTGCCAACTGAGGATTGTCCTGGGGTTCCAAGACACATCTTGGGTCTGGAGCCTCTGGGAGTTGTTGATTAAACAACCTGGGGTCAGAGGTGATGGCCAGGGGCAGCAAGACTTCTTCCATGGCTGAAGACAACGTGGTCACGGAGGGATGTCTCAGTGTCAGCTTCTCTCATTCATCCATGAATGTTTTGAGGAAACTGGAAGCCTGCAAAGGGGCAGGGGGCAGAAACTCAGGTGCTCATGAATCTGAGGACTCCGTACCTCTGTTTCTTTTGAAGAGGCCAATTTCTGGGGTTAGCCTGCTGAGGTAACTGAAGAGATCTATAGGGTTGGGTTGAAGGGAGCCAGAGGTCTCTTTACCACCTCCTGACACAAGGACACTAAGCAAATGAAAATCTTAATTGAATGAAACAAAAGGGAATGAGCTTTATCTCCTAAGTATCCAGGGTGGGGTGGGAGGGCAGGAAGTCTGGGCTTGTGGAGAGAGGGGCCCACAGGCACTAGGGCAACTGGTTCAAGCAGGCTTGGACCAGAAAAGTTTGCCCTGTGTCTCCGTGGTAGCCCAAGGGGTTAAGACACAAACTATGAAGCTGTCCGCAGAGTTCAATGCCCGGCCAGGGAGCTACCCACATGGCGCAGCAGACCTCTCCTGTCTCCCCGCTGCTCCCCTCAGCAGTGCACTTCAATAAATCCACCTGTTCTGCTCCCCCCTCGGTCTCTGGTGAATCCTCTCACCTCCCACACCTCTGGCCTGTACCCCAGTTCTTATATGCATAAATAAATAAATCTTTAAAAAAAAAAAAAAAGCTCGCGGCCTGCAGCTGGACTCCATTCTAACCCACTGGACTGGGGTTAACAGAGGGGAGGAGGAGGAAGGAGAGAATGAGTCAGGGTGGCGACCCGCGGTGGAGGCAGCTGCTCCAGCCCCGAGGAAGGGAGAGGGGAAAGAGACCGAGAGTTTGGGAGCAGCAGCCGAGTGGGGACAGTCGCCCATACTGCATCAGAGTTTTGAAGCCTCAGCTCCATGTGGGGATGGAGTTTCTGGGGGAAGGGCCCGGCAGCCACAGCACAGCTCCCGCAGGCTCCTTGCCCACAGACATCCCACATCCTGGAAGCCGCTTTTCCTCCCCTCAGGACGCCGCGGGCTCCCCCTGGCCCGCCCTTTCCAGGGGTGTCAGGGCCCGGTGGAATTTGAATGCACGTCCTGAAAGCAGGAAAATACTAGGGAGGGGCTGGCGTCCAGGCACGGGGGACGGGGCAGCGGATGCTGATACTTTCCTTCGCTGTCTTTTCTGGACATCAAGGCGCAAGGCTTGGTTTGGGGGATCCCTGGGGCGCCTTTCCTCAATTCGCTGGTAAACCTGGGGATCCTAAACAAGAGGCTGGGGAGAGGGTGTCAGCTACTCACCACCCTGCCCGGGCTGAGGAGAGGAAGGGGTCGCAGCGCCCCCCTAGACCCCCAGCTGCATCCCTGCCCGCTGTCGCAGGCGTCGGGGCGGCTGGCGGGCGTGGGCGCCCCTAGGGCCACGCTGTCCAGTGGCCCCTTAAACTCTTGCAAGTCGTAGTCCAAGCCCCGTGAACTAAAAGCAACCAGTTTGGGATGGGAGGGGGTGGGGGAGGAAGGGGCAGGGTGGGAGGGGGTGACATCACGGGGCGGGCCCCTCCAACTCGCTCCCTCGCGTGTGGGGGGACCCAGCTCGCCTGCGGCTGCAGGCTGGGCCGGAGGACCCCCAACTACAGCGGAGCGGGGCTTCAGCGCCGGCGCCGGCAGCCTGGGGGGCGGGCTCTGCACCCTCACGGGCGGCGCGGCCACTCAGCGCCCCCAAAGCCCCGACTGGGGTCCCCGCGCTCCCCTGGCTCGGGCTTGGTCTCTCCCACTTCCCAGAGAATTGGAGTATTGTCTTCTGCAGAACCTGGTGGTCGGGATCGGGGACCCGGGGAAGGGGCTTCTATGGCCCGGGGGCGCCGGTGAGGGGCTCACGGGGGGCCGAGCCGGCGGGGCGAGCCGGGCCTGGAGGGGCCACGAGTGGGGCGCGCCGGCGGGCCGGAGGGGCCGGGCCGGGTCCTCGCGGGGGGGCGCCGGCGGCCCGACAGCTCGGGATGCAAATAAGATGCAAAGCAGCATGCAGATGAGCGCGGGCGCCCCCGGCCCCCCGCTCCGCGGCTGAGCCCCGCTCCGCGAGGCCCCGCTCCCCGGCCGCGCTCCGCAGCGGGGCCCGGCCGCGGCGTCCAGGGCGGCCTCGGGGGGCGGCGGTTGCAGCGCGCAGCTCGCCGGCGGGCCGGGCGCCGGGCGGCCGCGGCGGGGGGAGAGGCGGGCCCGGCCGGGGCGCGCTCCCCGCCGCTCCGCGCCTGCACCCGACGGCGGGGCCCGTCCGCGCGGCGGCCGGCGGGCTCGGGGCAGGGCGGCGACGCCGCTGCGCCCCCGGTGCTGTCTGCACGGGAGAGGCCGGCTCGGGGCCGGCCATCTCCCCGCAGCGGCAGGGCCCGAGCGACCAGCCGGAGGGCCCGAGCGCCCGCCCCGCCGCGGCGCCCACGCGCTTCGCCTCCTGCGGCGCAGCCCGCGCGGACCCCGCCCCGGCACGCGGAGCGCGGCGGCCGCGGGCCCTTTAAGGGGCGGGGCCGGCGCGCCCCGCTCCCGCCTCCTGCCGGCCGACCGCGCGCTGGTGGGACTGGCTCGCGCCGCAGCCAACCGCTTCTCCTTTTCCTTCCGTCGCTTCCCTGGTGACCCCGGAAGTGGAAGTCGGCGCAGGTCGGCGGCCGCGGCGGGGACGGAAGGCGGAAGCGGAGCGGGAGCGGGAGGCGGAGCCGGGGGAGGGGCTCTCGGAGCTCCCCTGGCCCCAGGCCCGGCTGCTCGAGGGGGAGGAGTTACCGCCGCTCTCGGGTACGTTATCCCGCCCTCCACCCCGCCCGGGGGATCCCGGTGGCCTTTTTCAGGGGCGACCCCGAGCCCCGGCCCCAGGGTTTCCTTTAGGGCCGCACGGTCCCCACCCTTTTCCGGCAGCCTGCGGTCCCCGTTTCCGATTGTCTTTCCCTGTTTCGGAAAAGTGACCCCAGCACTGTACCCTTCGCGGTACTTACCGCTGTCCTAGATTCAGCATCATGGCTTTCGGGGGGGGGGCGGGGAACCCAAAAAACCAAGGGAATTTGGAGGAGGGGGAGTGTTGTCATTAATGTAGTTGTTGTCATTATGTAGTTGTCATTAATGTTGTCATTAATGTAGTTGTCATTAATGTCAGTGTTGTCATTAATGTAGTAGTGGCTTATTGCTTGGGGTGATGGCCGCTCCCCAAAGAAGATGGGGAAACAAGGGTGGTGGGTGCATTCGGTATGTCCCCAATTTAAGATTTTAACCCTTCTCTTGGTCGTATCGTCCCCACCTTGATATCTTTGTTACAGGCATCAGAATTTACCATGATGGCTGTGACCTAAAACCCTCAGGAAGCCCCGGGGTCATGGCCCAGAAGCACCCCGGAGAAAGAAGATTGTGTGGAGCCCACCGCGGTAGGGGTGCCTCTCTCAGGACTTTAGGACCCTCTGTGGATCCTGAAATACTTTCATTCTCAGGACTCAGGGACTCAGCGAGGCCTGCTCCTAATGGCACCCACTGCCTCACAGAACACTCTAGTCCTAAGTACACACAGCCCCCAAACCCTGCTCACTGGTCGGATCCAAGCCATGGCCCCCCGAGGGGTCCAGGACCCCCTAGGGATGGAGAGAACCCAGATCAGAGCGAGGCTTCTTCAGAAGAAGAATCAGGAGTGGACCAGGAACTCTCAAGAGAGAATGAGGCTGGGTACCAGGAGGACGGGAAGCCTTTTGTTTCCATTCCGTCTGCTTGCGACTGCCAGGGCACCTCTAGAGTCTCTGAAGGACCTTACTCTGAGGGAAGAGATAGCTCTTCCAGCAACTTTTGCCACCATTGTACCTCTCCAGCTTTGGGGGAAGATGAAGAGTTGGAAGAGGAATATGATGTTGAGGAACCTCTTAAATTCCCCAGTGATTTTTCACGTGTGCCCAGTGGAAAGAAACCTCCACCCCGGAGACAGAGGCACCGCTTTGCAGCCAAGGAGGATACTCGGGAGGGTGGACGCCGAGATCCCAGGTCCCCTGGTCGACACCGGCTGGGCCGGAAACGCAGTCAGGCGGATAAGCGCAGAGGCCTGGGATTGTGGGGAGCAGAGGAACTGTGTCAGCTTGGACAGTCAGGCTTCTGGTGGCTGATCGAACTGCTGGTATTGGTGGGAGAGTATGTGGAAACTTGTGGCCATCTCATCTATGCATGCAGGCAGCTGAAGGGCAGTGATCTGGACCTCTTTCGAGTCTGGATGGGAGTCTGGGCAGGGCGACTTGGGAGCTGGGCCCAGGTGATATTCCAGTTTTTGAGCCAGGGATTTTGCTGTGGAGCAGGGCTTTTCACCCGTTTTCTTAGGCTGTTGGGTGCTCTGCTGCTTCTGGCTCTGGCCCTCTTGCTGGGCTGTTTACAGTTGGGCTGGAGGTTTCTTGTGGGACTGGGTGACCGGTTAGGCTGGAGGAGTAAGGCCACTTGGCTCTTCTCTTGGCTGGATTCTCCCACCTTGCAGCGTTGTCTGGTTCTGCTGAGAGACAGCAGGCCATGGCAGCAGCTAGTAAGAATGGTTCAGTGGGTTTGGCTGGAGTTGCCTTGGGTCAAGCAGAGGATTAATAGGCAAGAGAATGCACCTGTATCGGGTGGTCGCTACTGTCAGCCTGAAGAGGAAGTGGCTCGACTCTTGACCATGGCTGGGGTACCTGAGGATGAGCTAAACCCTTTCCATGTGTTGGGGGTTGAAACCACAGCATCAGATGTTGAACTGAAGAAGGCCTATAGGCAGCTTGCTGTGATGGTGAGTACTCTCCCTTTTATTTCCCGTTCCTCTTTTGTCCCCATTTTATTTTCTACTCCAGTTTTAGGTAGAGTGGAGTAAAGGGAAGGCAGAGTAGAAAATCTACTTGAAGCTGAAGGTTAACTGTGGACCCAGTATGGAAAAGTTCAGGAAGTGCATGCGAATGATTATTCCAGGACCAGGTGAAAGAAAAAAAGTTATTTCAAGGCCAGCAGTTCACGGTGGGAAAGAGAAGGAGAGCTGAACATAAATCATGGGCATGTGCATATGTGTGTCATACATGAAAATGGTTGCTTTTATTGATGGGAATAGATGCACCATATGCTTCAGAGAAGTGGTTTAGTATAAGCATTCAATCAAATTGCCATGGGACGGAGAGCAGAAACATTACTATTTCTGTACAAGTAACACTACAAAATGAATAAGTAACGTGTTAATATAAATTGCACAGGAAGCCTATTTTACTGAGTGCATGGACTGGTGAAACATAGTGTGCAAATTGTTGCATGACACTAAAGTTGCCGACCACCTAGGTTTCCAGTGAACATTCAAGGCACAAAAAAAGTGTCAGGCCTGTTACTTACCAAAGGACTAAATTTGTTTGGTGGGAAATACATGCTCCTTAGTGGACAGGGCCTGGAATATTCTTTGAGTGTGGAACAACTTCTTACATTCAAGTTGTTACTAATAGTAGAGCTCTTCTCTCACCTTCATGTCTTTTTTTTTTTTTTAATATTTATTTATTTATACAAGCACTGGGGTACAGGCCAGAGGCATGGGAAGGTGAGAGTATGCACCAGAGGCAGAACAGGCAGACGACTGAAATATACTGCTGAGGGGAGCAGTGGGCAGGACAGGAGAGATCTGCCCCGCCATGTGGGAATCTCCCTGACTGGCCAGGAATCGAACCCGCGCTACAGAGGCTGCGGACAGCTTCACAGTGCTACGCTAAACCCACTGCGCCACTGGGGAGGCCCCTCACCTTCATGTCTTTGAACAGATACCTTCTTTTGGGGAATATCAGTTTGTTTTTTTTTTTTAAGATTTATGTATTTATTTATACATACAAGCACTGGGTACAGTCAGAAGCGCAGAAGGGTGAGAGAATTCACCAGAGCCAGAGCGGGGAGCAGAACAGTCAGAAGGACCGAAGTACACTGCTGAGGGGAGCCGCGGGCGGCAGTTGAGGTCTGCGCGCCATGTGGGACCCTCCTCCGGTGGCCAGGGAGCAGCCGGGGATCAAACCGGCGCTGCAGAGGCTGCGGGCAGCTTCACAACCCAGCGCTCAACCGCTGCGCCACTGGGGAGGCCCTGGGAAATACCAGTCTTAAGAAAATTTTCATTTTCAACTTACTTTCTTGGAGTAGAGGTGTGGTTAAGTTGCCCAATCTTCAGTATACTTGCCCTGTACTCCCAGGTTCTCCCTTGTTTTAGCCCAGAGTGTCTGTGGTTTCTTTTAAATTGACTCCCTCATTGCCCTTACTAGAACCCCAGAGTGACCATGACTAAAAGACTGTTCTATAAGCTCTGGGAATGTGGTAGATCTAACAACATTCTGTTTATTTGTCATCAGTCATGAGACTGGATTTATCTCTGTTTTTTGGGAATGACAATCAGGAAGCTGTAGGGAGAGGATATTATTTGTCTTGGAAAAACACTGAAAAGTGGGTGAAAAGCCTATGAGGATCACAATATGCTATTTCATGTCTGGGACAGAAAAGTAAACTATTGTGCAAAGTTTTGTGTAGATATGAGAATTTTTCTACTTAGAAAGGAATGAATTTGAGGATGTTAATGTGTTTGGAATTACTGCTTTACTGACAATGAAATTTCAGTGTGACGGATTAGTATATGTGTGCCAGCAAGGGTGACTAACCATCCCTGTTTGATTGACGGGTTTCCTCAGATCTGAACTTTTCATGCTAAGACTAGGCACAGTGGTCATCCTGGTGCCAGATTCTGTGCCATATACTGCACATGTATTCTCTCCTAAGCTATTCCCGGTGATCCATCATACATAAACTATCTTATATGCCAATAAGCAACAGAGCTTGGACTTCACCCCATCTGTCTTCAGAGCCAGAGCAATTAATCATTAAGCTATATGGATTCTCTGAGGAAAAAGAACCCCTTGATACGAGATTATTTTAATCCAAGAAGGGGAAACTGTTGGAATAATTTCTTTTTTTTTTTTTTTTAAAGATTTATTTATTGGGCCTCCCCGGTGGCGCAGTGGTTGAGCGCAGGGTTGCGAAGCTGCCTGCGGCCTCTGCGGCGCCGGTTCGATCCCCGGCTGCTCCCCGGCCACCTGAGGAGGGTCCCACATGGCGCGCAGACCTCTCCTGCCGCCCGCTGCTCCCGTCAGCAGTGTACTTCGCTCCTTCTGCCTGCTCTGCTCCCCGCACTGGCTCTGGTGAATTCTCTCACCCTCCCGCGCTTCTGACTGTACCCAGTGCATGTATAAACAAAACAAACAAACAAATAAATAAAACATGCCTCTATTAAAAAAAATTGTTTAAAAAAAAAAAGATTTATTTATTTATTTATACAAGCACTGGGTACAGTCAGAAGCGCGGGAGGGTGAGAGAATTCACCAGAGCCAGAGTGGGGAGCAGAACAGGCAGACTGACAAAATACACTGCTGAGGGGAGCAGTGGGCACAGCAGGAGAGGTCTGTGTGCCATGTGGGACCCTTGCTGGTAGCCGGGGATCGAACTGGCGCTGCAGAGGCTGTGGTCATCTTCGCAGGCCAGTGCTCAACTGCTGCGCCACCAGGGGAGGCCCTGGAATAATTTATGTTGAAATCTCTTTATCTTGGTAGGTTCATCCTGACAAAAATCATCATCCCCGGGCTGAGGAGGCCTTCAAGGTTTTGCGGGCAGCCTGGGACATTGTTAGTAACCCTGAAAAGCGGAAAGAATATGAGATGTAAGTTGGAAATGAGAAATTGTCAGGTGTCAGTCTTCAATAGCAGATGTCCCTGCATTTGTGGGTGGAGACTCTCTGAGATGGGGGGAACGGGTTGCTTGTCTTTTGCGCTGACTAGGGGCCTTTGTCCCTCAGTCAATACTCTGTGACTTAAAAAGTTTTTCTTCTCTTTAGGAAACGAATGGCAGAGAATGAATTGAGCCGGTCTGTGAATGAGTTTCTGTCCAAATTGCAGGATGACCTCAAAGAGGCAATGAATACTATGATGTGCAGCCGATGCCAGGGGAAGCATAGGTATGCAATAGGCCAGGAATGGGACAGTGACAGCATAGGGGGTGGGTAGCTAAAGACTTGGTAGTTGTGGGGTACAGATGGTAAGAAAACCCCTGAGGTTTCTGCTTTTGTCTTATTATCAAGAGATTGAGGGTTTGAATAAGTAGAAAGAATATTTTTTTTTTTGCATGAATAAATTTTTTATATAATTGGGGTATAGGCCAGAGGATTTACCAGAGACAGAGTGGGGAAACAGAACAGGCAGAAATACACAGGCGTATCATGCTCAACCCGCTGTGCCACCACTGAGGCCCTGTAACTTTATTTGCTAATCAGTGATTAGTTTTCATCCACATTGACTGTCTGTAGATTTTTGAAAGTTGTGACAGGTACATAGGTAACCAATGTATACAGCTTGTTTGGCGAATCTTCATCCTCAATATGTTTCCTGGACAACCGTACATGGATACGATAGGGGACATTCCTTATTCCCTTGGCCCAGACAGCTTTGTTGAGCCTGGTGTCGATGCGCACATCTGGAGTGCCCATTTCCTTCATTGCAAATTTCCGGATCTCTTTGAGTGCTCTAGGGGCACGCTTCTTAAAGCCAATTCCATGGATGCGCTTGTGAATGTTGATTGTGTATTCTCTGGTAACCACCTCGTTGATGGCAGAATGGCCCTTCTTCTTCTCGCCACCCTTCTTTGCGGGAGCCATCCTGCCGGGCCAGAACGCTGAAAGGAGAAGAAGATAATATTTTTAAGTGTAAGGTAGAAGATTGGAAGACATGGGGCCTCCCTGGTGGCGCAGTGGTTGAGCGCTGGGTTGCGAAGCTGCCCGCGGTCTCTGCGGCGCCGGTTCGATCCCCGGCTGCTCCCCGGCCACCGGAGGAGGGTCCCACATGGTGCGCAGACCTCTCCTGCCGCCCGCTGCTCCCCTCAGCAGTGTACTTTGGTCCTTCTGCCTGCTCTGCTCCCCGCTCTGGCTCTGGTGAATTCTCTCACCCTCCCACGCTTCTGACTGTACCCAGTGCATGTATAAACAAAACAAACAAACAAATAAATAAATAAATAAAACATGCCTCTATTAAAAAAAAAAAAAAAGAAGATTGGAAGACAGGGTGTCTTCATTCTCACCAGAGACAGAGTGGGGAGCAGAACAGGCGGATTGACTGAAATATACTGCTGAGAGGAGCAGTGGGCAAGACAGGAGAGGTCTTCTGCGGCAGCTTCATTGTGCTGAGACTTAACCCCTTGCACCACCAGGGAGGCCCAGCTTAACAAATTATTTTTTTTTAAGATTATTTATTTATGTATACAAGAGCTGGGGTACAGGCCAGAGATGTGGGGAATGAGAAGATTCACCAGAGACAGAGTGGGGAACAGAACATGCAGACTGGCTGAAATCCATTGCTGAGGGGAGCAGTGGGCGAGACAGGAGAGGTCTGCTGTGCCATGTGGGTTGCTTTCTGGCCGGCCGGGGATTGAACTCATGCAGCAGAGGCTGCAGATCGCTTCATAGTGTGGTGCTTAACCACTTGTGCCACCAGGGAGGCCCCAGCTTGACAAATTATTAAGGAACTATCCTTTTGTTGGGTTGCAGGAGGTTTGAAATGGACCGGGAACCTAAAAGTGCCAGATACTGTGCTGAGTGTAATAGGCTGCATCCCGCTGAGGAAGGAGACTTTTGGGCAGAGTCAAGCATGTTGGGCCTCAAGATCACCTACTTTGCACTGATGGATGGAAAGGTGTATGACATCACAGGTACACTTCTATCTTCTAGAAATATGCGATCATGTGTGTTCAAAACTGGTATTTTGGCTAATGATTTCTCTTACTTGCAGAGTGGGCTGGATGCCAACGTGTGGGAATCTCCCCAGATACCCACAGAGTCCCCTATCACATCTCATTTGGTTCTCGGATTCCAGGCACCAGTGGGCGGCAGAGGTAGGTGGTATTTCAGTAATAATCTACCCACTATTCTATTTCTGTGTTTCAGATGACGTGATATTTAGGACACAGGGATGTCTCACTCTTTAAGAAGTTTGAGAACTGACTCAGTTCATCTTTAATTTAGGTACACATAGGTAACATTAGTAATCATGACTCTTTTATCTCTTATTCAATCTTTTTTCCTCAGAGCCACCCCAGATGCCCCTCCTGCTGACCTTCAGGATTTTTTGAGCCGAATCTTTCAAGTACCCCCGGACCAGATGTCCAATGGGAACTTCTTTGCAGCTCCTCAGCCTGGCCCTGGGGCCACTGCAGCCTCCAAGCCCAACAGCACAGTACCCAAGGGAGAAGCCAAACCGAAGAGGCGGAAGAAAGTGAGGAGGCCCTTCCAACGTTGATAACCCTTCTCTTCTTTCCTCAAATCAATGTCAGGGAGTCATAAGGGCTGTGTACAGCACAGGATGGAGTTTGACTTGTTTATTTTTAAATATTTAAAAAAGGGAAAATTTTAAGCTCAAATTATTCACTCAGTACGTATAGAAGTCCAGAAACCACTCCCCTCCTCCACCAGTACCCACTAACTGAATCTCGTCTTCTGATAATACCAAAGAAATAGGCTATGGCTAGAGCAAAGAAGCTAGGGCCTGGACCTGGGCTGGACAGTATCTCCCATGGTAGTATGGGAACTGTATTTTTCCCTAGGATCTATATGCCTCTGTCTTGTCTTTTGCTTCTAGAGATGACACTTTGCCCCCCCCCCTTTTAAATTACAAGACTGTCTTATTCCTTGACCCATTCCAGGAAGGTGCCCCTTCCTTTACCCCAATATACTAGTTGAGAGACAGAAGAAGAAAGCATGTAGCCCTAATTATTGGAGATATATAGAGTTCAGAGAGTGGGAACTCTGAATTTTTCCTCTGACTTTCACCTTGTGGGTAATCACCCAACTTTATGCTTGTTGCTGCAGGGATGGCCAAAACTAATTAATTTTTAAAAGCCCTCTGCCCTTGGGTGAGGGGGAAAGATGTAGGGGTTCCAGGCAGCCCCCTTATGATCCAAGGGTTTGTATTTTTTTAAGTTTGTTCATATTTGTATGTACATATCTATTTAACGCCAGGGGATTATCTTTCTATAAATATACAGCTGGCAATCTGTATCTTCCCTCTCTTCTTTGCCCATATAGCTGAAGCCCTTTTTCTTATTTGAGAATCCTTTCCCTACTAAGTGTAAGCTGAAAGTGAAGGGCACCTCCTACTGGACTGAGGGAGAGGGAGGGGCAAGAAATACCATAGTAAAGTGTTGTACAGTAAGTCAGCATTCCATTTTTTTGCCCTACCTTTGCGCAAACATTTTCCAGCTCCTGATGATCAAATTGTAGCCATATTTGAAAAAAATTATCTTTATTATAAGGAAAATACATAGCAACACAGAGTTGGAAGGTGGTAGGGAGTGGAAGATATGGAAAAACTTAATTACTAAGTAAGCTGCCCAAATGTGGCTTCCTGCTGTGGCGGTGAGTGATTTGGCCCTGACCTTTCTTGATTCAAAGAAACCTGTTTTTAGCAGGGCTGGGCCAAGGGAGCCCCACTTTCCAGTCTGTTCTCTTCCCTCAAGTCTAGGGAAGGTGGTACAGTCCTCAGGCTTTTAAGATACAGAAGACAGTATGGAGAAGACAGTATGTGACAGCCCTTTGTTCCAGCGTCAGCCCCAAGCCCATCCCTCAGTACTTGTTGATGCCAAAGAGACGAACCCCATGGAATTGGGGCAACTTGGGCAGCAGTACACTGAGCAGTGAGGCTGTGTTGATGAAGAAGTGAGCAGCATCATACTTGGTGTAGAAGCTGGCCAGGAGGTAGCTGGGGAGAGAAGAAATACGTTGAGTGAAGTCAGCCTTCCCTGTCCTTATTCATGCCTTTCCAGTCACTTTCTCTTCTATTTTAAATGACCAGTTTGATTGCATGTAGTCCTGGGATATTTGAAAATACTCCCCCTCTGTTAACCATATTTACTTTGGGGTTGGGGAAGTAATCAGAGAGCACCTTTAACTGGAGATTTGTAAGTCTGTGTGTCTTTTAATTGTTGATGATGTGGCAAATGACTGCTGAAGCAGTTTCAGCCTATTAGAATCTTCTTCGCTTCCACTCCCCACAGTCCATTTTTACTGATTTACATCAGTTCTGCCTTTATTTTTTAATTTATTTATATCAGAACCGGGGTACAGGCCAGATGCACGGGAGGGCGAGAGGATTCACTAGAGACAGAGCAGGGAACAGAACAGGCAGACTGATAAAATACACTGCTGAGAGGAGCAGCGGGTGCGACAGGAGAGGTCTGCCCCGCCATCTGAGACCCTCGCCGGCCGGCCGGGATTGAACCAGCGCTGCAGAGGCCGTGGACAGCTTCACAGTGCGGCACTCAACCGCCTGCGCCACCAGGGAAGGCCCTTTGCCTTTATTTTTTAATGTAAAATAGTTTACGTGATGTTTTAGTTTTTCTCAGTCCTTTCTCCATTCCGCTACCACCAAGGAGACAGCAAGGAATGCTGTATTACCATCTTCCACTTTTTATTGCTCTCCCTAGATTGAGGCCTAGTGTACCACAGTATCTTAAAGTGTCAGTGTGAGTGGTCTGCTTTTTTAAAGTTTTTCCCGTGCACCTTTGTACCTGGCTTTTGGAGCATCTCCCATATCTCCCCTTGGACTCACAGTACAATAGGAGAGATGCTGAGGAATTTTCGGGAAGAAGTAAACTGGAGCCCGTAGTCCATCTGTTCCCAGTGTGTCAGTAGTCGAGCCTTTCCTTGGTCAGGGGTCTCAAAGGGTGTCCCTTTCACTGTATGTAGGAAGACATACATAGCCTGGGAGGAGGGAAGGGCAGATAAAAAGGGGTAGAAAGTGGTCCTTCAGCTCAAGAATTATGTTGAGATTCCCAAAAGAAAGACATAAACCCCCAAGTAATTGGTGATTTTAACTTGTTTTGGCTGGGAAAGGCCTGCGTGGGTATAAGGGTGCCGCTTAGTGCTCACCAGGTTATGGATGACGTTGGTCAGGGTCCAGACAACAGGAATGCTGAAGAAGGGGACGCTGAGTAGAACCACATGCAGCAGTCCCACTAAGATGATGTAGGCCAGCCAGATGCCCCGGCTATTCATCACTCGAGTGTTGGGGTTTACTTCGCTGTGTGCCACCCCCACATTCATCCTACCACAGTGGGGGATCAGGCAGGAGTCCAACTCAATTTCCTCTCAACACCCCTTTGAGTTTGCCTCCCCAAATGGTCTCCTGGACGGCGAAAATCCCCCGAAATATTGGGAATGAAAACTTCCTCATCCTGCACGAAGGAAAAACTGAAGACTTGAGGGGAAAACTTAAAAGGCAGGCGTCCTCTTTACATCTGAAGAGGCACACTGTGGTAACTTTTACTGTGACTCTTGCACTTCAGCTGTTAACGATACGCCTTGGCTTGGGGCACTTATTTCAAGGAGCAAGTACCTCAATTTGTTTTTCTGAAGAAGTTAAGGCGTCACCAGGAGCCACTCTCAAAAGAAGGTCTTGGGGAAGGACCAAGAAACAAGTGAGGAAGACTGAGGGGATAAAGTGACTTCTAATCTCCGCGTTTTCCTCTGGGACTTGCCCTCCGTTCTCTCCCCCCACCACAGCAGGGGGGCAACCAGCACCCCAGTTCCTCCGCCCAGACCTGGGGCGCCGCAAGCACTTGCCCAGGGCTTCTGGCTTGAGTTAGGAAGAGAACCTGAGCTCATCGTCTCGCGAGCCCTGGCTCCGACTCCGGGACGGCTCTGAGCGTCCGAACTGGCCCCCTGAAACCGTGCTAGCTCGAAAGATGACGAGGCCTAGTTGGGAAATCAGCCTTTGTCCACCCGCCTCCGCTAAAATTCCCCTGAAACTGCCCCACGCTCCTCCCAAGCTTCTTTCTGTCGTTCGTCGCCTCTTTTCAGCGCTTCCCCTTGGGATAGAAATCGCCGCCTAGTCCCCTCGCTCGGTCGCCTCTCGCCAACGTCCCTCAGCACCCCGTCCCAGCGCCCCCGCAGTCCCTACCTGCCAGTTTCAGGGACCCGTCAGGCTAGGGGCGCCGCGCTCCCTCCACCCCTGCGGTCTCCAGGAAGCAGCCGCCCCCGCCCGCCTGCGGCTTCCCTATTGGCTGAGCACCAACAGCGCTGCCGCCACCCATTGGCTGGCGAACCGCGACGGGGTCGCGCAATTGGTTGCTCTTCCGTCGTTCAGAAGGTGCGAAGCCCGCCCTTCTCTCCGTACCACCTTTTGAGAGAGGCGGGGAAAGCCGCCCGCAGGAAAGAGAGAGCGACGCCAGCCACTGGCCAATAGGAAGAGGTGATGGTGTGAGGTGGGAGTAAGGCTGGCCGTGATTGGTCAGCCCAGATTATCGGCGCCTAGGCGGGAGCTCCGGGAGGCGAGGCCGCGGGCGGGGGCCTGGTGGAGTGGAGGGGCAACAAGATGGCGACGGAGACGGTGGAGCTGCATAAGCTGAAGGTACCGTGCTGAGGGGAAGGGCCGAGCGGGACTTTTCTGGGGTATGGATTCTTCCGGGCGGCCGGCGCCTTTGCTTACGTGCTCTCTTTGCAGGCTTTTCCACTTCTCTTCCCGGCGTCCACCGTAGTTCTTTTCTTTTGTGCCTCCCTTCTCCCCCCCAGTGCGCCTTCCTCAATTCCCGGTTTCTCTTCACGGTCTCGCTGTAGCCTTGCTTGGTACTTTGGCGCCTTCTTCAGCGCTGTATCCTCCGTCACCTTCCCCCGCCAGGGTGTGTTAAGTGCCTCCAACCTGTTCTACTCCCTCATGATTTCTCGTCAGAGCTGCATTACGTCAGTGGGCTCCTCCTCTGTGCCTCATGCGGGACCCGGGATCCCTTTTTCTTCCCTGGGCTGATGCTTTCCTGTCTGTGGTCCCGAGGTGAGATTCCCGTCAGCAGATGGTGGCACCTTTGTGTCTTCCTCGCTGTCTCGGACTCCAGCGTGATGCAGAAAATGCTTTCTCTCCTTTTGTGACCTGGAGGTTACGGCCACGGGGTGAACTTTCAGACCTGAGGGGAGGCCGCAGAGGCCAGGCCTCCCGAGAGAACCTGGCATGTGGGAGGCCGTGAGAGGTTGTAAAGGCCCAGCTAGCGCAGATTGAGGAGCTTTTCCCGTTCTTGCTCGCGTTTCTCCACCCGCCAGCCTCCCCCTCCCTCCCGCCGCCGCGAGGGACACCCCGCTCGGAGCTGTGGTATTTGGGTAGAACGATGCCAAGGTTCGGGTTCTCGCTGCCCCGCTTCGAATCGCGAATGGACCCTGCGCTTCTTGGTCTCACCACGGGGGGACACTCTTGATCGCGGAGGCTGTTTTTTAAGTTTAGTCTTTTGAGACTCTTCGGAGCGTTCTCACATTTAGGCTATTATTTTCCTAAAAGAAGAGAGTAGTTTATTTGAGGGTGAATTAGTTGCCCGTGTGGCTTCACAGGTAGTTTTGCTAGGGGGAAATGATGTCCTGACTTAATCCCGTACAGGCTTTGCGGACCCCACAGTCAGGCACCCCGTTTTGTATAGGGGTTGCTCTACAACAGTTTTACCATCAAATGTTTGGTCGTGTCTGGGCCACATCATCCCGGGGACCTTGGACAACGGGGCTGATTTTGCTGGAGCTGAAATGAATGCTTTCCAAGCGGACAGAGCTTTAAAATGGCAGGGAAATAAGCGTAGAGGGAGGTCGCTTATTAGTTGACACCAGTTAGCCTGGTCTGTGAGAGCTGATAGATTTCTTACTCTTGGATACTCAGCTCTACTGATGGGTTTTTATGTTATCCTGGACTTACCTTTTTTTTTTTTTTTTTTAAAGATTTATTTATTTATTTATACAAGCACTGGGTACAGTCAGAAGCGCGGGAGGGTGAGAAAATTCACCAGAGCCAGAGCGGGGAGCAGAACAGGCAGACTGACAAAATACACTGCTGAGGGGAGCAGTGGGCACGGCAGGGGAGGTCTGTGTGCCATGTGGGGCCCTCCTCCAGTGGCCGGGGAACTGCAGAGGCTGCGGATAGCTTCGCAACCCAGCGCTCAACTGCTGCGCCACCGGGAAGGCCCTCCTGGAGTTTCTTTTGACTTGGTGGTACTGAAGTGCGCAGATTATCTCAGCGGTATCCTAGTATGCCTGTGACCTCAGTTATACTTCCATTTACATGAATTTTGTATTGCCACATAGTAGGTCCTTGAATAAACATCCTTTTTAACTGCCTATCATTTTTTTAAAGATTATTTATGCATACCAGAACTGGGGTACAGGCCAGAGGTTGGGGGGTGGGTGAGAGGATTCACCAGAGACAGAGTGGGGAACAGAACAGGCTCACTGCTTATCTTGATTGAAATCACCTATTCAGGACCTGCTTCCATTATGCTATGCCTTCTGGTTTCCAAGAACCTGTCCATCTAGCTAAGTGAGGACTTAGCTATACTGCTGTGTATTATGAAGCATATACAGAAAGGGAATTTTTGAATAGGAGCTCTAATATTGTCTTCCTATTAGTCCTGTTTTTTTAAACTCCTGGAGTTAAGTCACCAATTTTGTGACTTGTCTCTGTGAACTTTGTGTTGGTTTGTGGAGTTCCTCCTCCCGTACAATCTTTGTCAGGTCTGTATTAAATTTGTTTTATATCCTCTGGTCTGATTTCAGGTACTGTAGTCTAAGAGGACAGGAGGCACTCCTGACAGGGTGAAAAGGATTCACTCTCTTAATCACCATTGCTTGTCTTTGCTTTTTCTCTAGAGCACCTCTTAACCTTTTGGAGGTCACAGATATCTTTGAAACTCATGAAAGGTATGGACCCTCTCCCCAGAAAAAGGCATGTACACATACTTTGCATGCAATTTGAGGGGCTTTATAAAACAACTTTGTAGCCCTGAGGAGTCCATTGATCTCTAATTAAGAACCCGTGCCTTTAATTCCAACTCACAGGACAGTTAATGTTTGATTTCACTGTTGATCTTGATGGCATGATCCTGACTTTTGGCTTGACTTAGGGTTTTACTCTTTTTAAATTAATCTTTCCATTTTTATAAAGAGAATTTAGGACTTTAGTGTGGGCTCTTAGAGGAAAGGACAAGCTCTGAAATAGGGAGGAAAATATATATTGGGTTGATATGTAAGTTCATATCCACTGCACATTCCTGAAGGTTCTGTAGTAACGTCATTCTATCACAGTTGAAAATTTTGAGACTGAATTGTGGATAAAAATGCCTTCAACTGTGGTATCTGTGGCACACAGATTTCCAATCAATAGTGAGAAAAGGGACTACTGCAGGAAAAAAAAAAAACAAGAAATGTGCACTGATATCATGTATGTTGAAAATGAGATTTTGTAATAGTGAAGCATAAAGTGCATATTTGTTGGTGGTTGAGGATAGTTTACAAAGGAAAGTAGGTGAACTATGTGACTAAAGGCAGATTGGAGTGATATTTAAGTTTTGTAAGGCATTTGGCTTTTGTCATACAGGAAGAATTTCCAAAGGTAATTTGAAAGGAGGGTTTGATCAGTTCCTTCTTTTCACTGTGAAAGGATGAGGGACTGAAGGGAGAAAAATTTCATTGGATTTTCATTATAGCAGTCACTCCCTTGCTTAAAACCTTTTAATTATATCCCTTCTATTTTCACCAGTTTAGTTTCTCACGCTCCAACCACAGTGGCTTTATTTTATTTCATTCCTCAGGATGACACTGTCCATTGACTGCTAACGGGTAGGATTTACTATGTGGCAAGCACTGGTCAACTTTTTATATACATAACTGCCACTCCCAGCCCCAAACTTTTGTTTAACTCTTAGTTGTCCTTTAGGTATCAGTCAAACATCATTTACCCAAGGAACCCTTAAGTAGGATAATTTCTCCCTATTTACACACACAGGCTGCTTTTAAAATGCTTTCAAGGGACCCTGTCCTTTCTTTTTTAATCAAACAGTATTTATATGATCATTGATTATCTTGTTCCTCTACTACTTTTTATTTTTTTATTTTAAAGATTTATTTATTTATTTATACAAGCACTGGATACAGTCAGCATGGGAGGGTGAGAGAGTTCACCAGAGCCAGAGTGGGGAGCAGAGCAGGCAGACTGACGAAGTACACTGCTGAGGGGAGCAGCGGGCGGCAGGAGAGGTCTGTGCGCCATGCGGGACCCTCCTCCAATGGCCGGGAGCAACCAGGGATCAAACCGGCGCTGCAGAGGCTGTGGGCAGCTTTGCAACCCAGCACTCAACTGCTGCACTACCAGGGAGGCCCTCCTCTACTACTTTTTTTTTTTTTTTTTATAGAGGCATGTTTTTATTTATTTATTTATTATATTTGTTTGTTTGTTTTGTTTATACATGCACTGGGTACAGTCAGAAGCGCGGGAGGGTGAGAGAATTCACCAGAGCCAGAGCGGGGAGCAGAACAGGCAGAAGGACCGAAGCACACTGCTGAGGGAGCAGCGGGCGGCAGGAGAGGTCTGCGCACCATGTGGGACCCTCCTCCGGGGCCGGGGAGCAGCCGGGGATCGAACCGGCGCCGCAGAGGCTGTGGGCAGCTTCGCAACCCAGCGCTCAACCGCTGCGCCACCAGGGAGGCCCTCCTCTACTACTTTTTAAATTCCATGTGGACAAGAGCTCTTTGTTTTGCTTGTGATTATTTCCTTCTGTCTAAGATAATGCTTCACTCACAGTGGGTAGTAACTATTTGTTAAGTGAGTAAACTTAGTAACACCTGGAAAAGGTAGTAGTGGCTAATAGAATGGGAATGAGTATTAAAGAAATTTAAGATACAGAATTGTAAGTATCTATATCTATAGATGAGTTCGATGTGGGAGGAATAAAAGATGATGCCAGGGTTTGAATAGTGGTACCATTTGGTTAGAAGGAAGCTAAGGAGCCATTATTGTGTAGAAGAGCAGATCAATTCAATTTGGGGTGAATGGGTCTTTGTTTTTGTTTTTAAAGATTTATTTATTTATGCATACAAGAGCTGGGGTACAGGCCAGAGATGCAGGGGGTGAGAGGATTCACCAGTGACTGAGTGGGGAACCGAACAGGCAGAGTGACTGAAATGCACTGCTGAGGGGAGCAGCAGTCGAGTCAGGAGAGGTCTGCTGCGCCATGTGGGTTGCTCTCTGGCTGGCTGCGGATTGAACTCGTGCTGCAGAGGCTGCAGATTGCTTCATAGTGCTGCGTCTTAACCCCTTGCGCCACCAGGGAGGCCCCGAGGTTAATGGGTCTTTGAAATAATTACTTGAAAATGTGGTCTGCTGCTCAGAACCTGAGAGCTGATGGTAAAGGTTTGGGACTTATTTAAAATTTATAGGGTGCCTATATGTGCTGGCTACCACAAGGTGGTGGGGATATAGCAACGAACAAACGCAGACATGATTCTTGCTGTCATGGAACTTACATTTTATTGGGGGGGGAGGCTTCTGCCTTAATGATATGTAAAGTAGTGTAAATATATACAAATACAGATATTCATGTAGTATGTCAA